ATAGAGCCAACTTTGCACACAGTTCAGTCTTGGAGCGTTTCAGATTTTTCAGCTTACCTTCTTTCGTAGTTTTGTGATAGTTGGCACACCTCTTTGTGAAAGTCAGGAATGAGCTCGCTCATGTTTACTTTAGAACTTATGGTGCCAGTGTTACAAATGACTCTCGAGAGGGACGGGAAACCTGGTTCAGTCTAAAAAGAAAGACTCTCCTATTTGTTTTTATGATCAATCACCTGGAGAATGCTGTTCTGCAGCATTGTCCTGGTCGCCCTCTCTTACAGTCATCTTAAAACCAGCGGCTGTTAGAAGTGCTCGGTTTCAAGTTCTGCTCTCCAAATTTCTTCCCCAAGTTTGTGCCTAACACTTGTAGTGCTTGGTTTATCCACTAGGAAGCCGCTTTAAACTTCTCTTTGAGAAATGCTCATGATTTTCTGTTTTCACTGAACTGAGCCACATAATCAATTTGTTTGGTGCATAAGCATATAGACCCGCATTTTGAATACAAACAAGACTGAATATACTTTGAGAAGGCTTCTGCATTGTCTTGGCCACAAGCTACCTTGTGTGAATTACAGGTTCAAAAGAAAGGTGACACTTAAGTATTTATCAAAAGAAAATGAGAACTTGGCTTTTTTTCCTTTTTGTAACTAATTACGTTTGCTCTTGTAAGTGATCTAAAGGTTTGTACAGGCAAATGTGGTTCAGTCTCCTTTGCAGATGTCTTGCACCTGCCACTTCATTACCTGGCGTCGTTTTTTAGCCAATGGGCCTCGGATATGTTCTCCTTGTAGAATCGCATGGAGGACACAATGGAGGATGTCACCCAATAAATCATCACGTTGGTCAAAAGATCATCAAGAGTGTATTTGCTGTTGAGAGAGAAGGACGACAACATTTTATTGGCAGCTGTTTCTCATGCTCTGAAGAACAGTTATTCCTCTTGTTCTCCACTAATTTTGAAGCAGCAAATTAATTGGCACCCATGTGCCCAGAGCAAAACTGCCTGCTGCTGAAGCAGTAGTTTGCAGGTGGTCTGCTCTAAGTTTGCTACTCCTCAGATGTCATCTTTCATCCTTAAAATTCAGCTTTGACTGGCCAGTCTTTTACCGACCTCCTCATTAACGAGCATCACTCATTCTTTTAATGAGTCTTGTGGAAGAGCATCTGTTTTCTTACCTTTCCAAGCCTCCATCATCTCTATGCAGAAATGATCTATCTGTCCAGGTAGAGAATTTCTCCAAAATATATGCAGCAAGCCCCACAGGGGAGTCATTCAGTCCACAACCTAATTCAAGAGAAGAATGGGAGAGCTGTTGCAGTTACCTGGCATTGCGATACTGCAGTGGAAATGAAACTGGGCTTTCATGGTTGCTTCAGAGTTTCCTAGGAGAATTCAGTAGAGAGTCTGTATTTTACTAGACCTCATAGTACTTTATTCTTGACAAATTTACCCCAGTGGAATTTTCAGCTGTAACTGGCATCACTACGAACTCAGGTAATTCCTACACAAAATACTTTAGCTTTGCTTTAAACCTGCCTAATGAGAACTAAACTGATAATGTGGATATTTCTTGAGACTGAGTAGGGAATAAGTTGTGAGGTTTTTTTTTTCCCCCCTATTTTTTCTACATTTCACAATTTTAGCGTGTTACAAAATCCCTGCTTTTCTTTTTCCAGAGTCCTAGACTATGTATGGTGCTTGCATGGAAGCTGCTCAGTCACTTCAGTCTTCCTTTTCTCTCCTTCCTGTATTTTTCTGATTCAAAACTATATTTATGAAACGGAGCAAACAGGGTACAACAGATTCTGAATATGATGGATTTTGTCTTTGTCTCTTTCTGCTGTCTTTGAGAGTTTGCAAAATTCTCTTGAACTCTGAGCCGACTGACCTTTCAAAGCACTACCTATGACTCAGGGATTCTCTCCCATGGCAGCAGCCACCCCAGAGCCCATTGTGATTTTCTTCCACTACTTAAATAGCTTTGAACTTGGTTCACATCAGTTTTTATTGGCCAGTGTAATCAACTAGTCACATAAATGTTTGTGCAACTCTCTGCAGTTATCTTTAGAGTAAACCAAACCCTGGATAACTGTCAAGGTTTCACTTAAGCATTAACTTTTCTCTGTAGAGGTATGAGGAGCATGTTGAAATCTCCAGGTGCCTGCACAGTTTTTTGTGATACTCTCCCTCCCTGGAACTTGCTTATTCATGCTTGAATCATTATGTTAACTACTTATTCATCCATGAACTTAATCCTTTTCTTAAAGCAGTTTAATTTCTTGAAGAACATTGGGGGAGGAACCTCAAAAAAAAAAAAACCAAAACTTTTTTGGAAATGAAATATGTTCTGTTCCTGGATCCACAGCTCTTTGATTCTGCCAGAGCTCTGATTTTTGAAGGATGATTTCCCTGTGATATTATCACCTGTAAATCAATTCTCCTCTTTAAAACAGTCCTGCTAGTTTTCTGATCAAAGACTAGACATACTGGTCCTTGGATTGGTTCACGTTGCAGTGTGAGTTTCTTGGTTTTCAGTGAATTTCCAGGATGGGGAGCTATTCGTTCTAGAGTCTCCACATTTGGCACCAGGCTGAGACTGCTCTGCTGTCTTTCCTGATGAGGGATTATTTTGATAAAGGAATAGTCCATAATTCTCGCTAGTGGCGACTGATGCAAAGAATGAGTGTAACTTTCTGAGATGGCTGTATCTTCCTTCAGACTGCTTATCTGCTGGCCCCACTAACTGCTTCAGGCTGCTGGCTTTTCAGCTGCTAGGGCTGTGCCTACCTTTCCACAAGATTCACATTACACTTGCTTATGATATTTTTTTCTTATTTTCCCCCACATTTATTTCTAGAAGCTTTGATTTCAGGACCTTGTGCTTCACTTCATGAGGCTTTTGGCAAAGTGGCTCTTTCCCCAAGAGAAGCAGCATGCCATTTTAAAGATTTTAAAAAGTGCTAGTTGTAGTTTCTGTCTTTTTTTAAACACATTTCTTATCCCCGTGTCTTGCATTCTGTCACCAAAACTCACTGCTTCTCAAACATGATTGGCCTTCATTCAACTATAAGATTTTTCTGTTTTATAAGCAGTTACAATAGAGTGTTCACAGCGATATAGAGAAGGTTCATTACCTGCAGTGTCTGGTTTGGTGGCTTGGAGGTGTAAGTATCCAGATTCTCGCAAAATGTAATATATATTCTTCTCCTTGAAAGGGTACATACGTCGAGCATCTTCCCTAGTGAAGCCTATGAGCCATGGTACATAAGCCCCAAGCATCACAGAAATCATCATGCTCAAACCTTGCATCATGACAAAGGCTACATTCAGATGAAGCCCCTTCACAGATCTAAAATTAAGTTAATGAACAGATGGTTAAATCAAGCTATTTTCTGGCTCCAGATTTTCTAGCAAATAAGTTGTAACAGAAGTATTTCACTGAGGCAAAATACACAAAACCTTTCAGGTTCATCATGGTTCAAAAAAAAATAAAATTATGGGAGTTAGAAATGGTACAGCTGGTGCCATCTCCATCCATCTGTGCCATTGGTCTGATATTAGTTTTAGGCACTCAGTTTAGAAACGATGGCATATCCATGCTGGTGGCTCTGGCTGGTGCTCTTGTGCCATTCTGCACTGGCTGCGTTAAGTATTTTCTGCAAAGCTTGAGTAGATCACATATGGCCACAGTGCTCTGGGTGCTGGGAAGCACAGCTGGGGACAGCGAGCTGCTCAGCCAGCAATCTCACTGCTTTAGGAGCTTTTCCCCCTTTATCTGTTCTCTGACCGAAGTATGGCTGTGGTGCCCACTTTTCATTAAATGCTGAACAATGAGCCCACTTCTAAGGAAGGTAACATGTTTCTTTTCCAATCACTCTCAACTCTGCATTTTAGATAGGAAAGTCTTTTATTTCACGCACTGTTCAGCTGCTGAAAGGTTGAACTCCTTCCTTCCTTCCTTCCTTCTCTCCTTCCTGATTTAGAATGATGAGCTGTCTCAAATCAAAACGCAGCAGCGTGCACTTCGGCAGCTTGTGAAAGAAAAGCCAAAGAGCACTGAAATTTAGGAAGCGTGAGAGCTGGGCCAATGCCAATGCAAAGTGTATGAATACCACTGAATGCACAGGGGTGGGGATGTCCCTGCAGGAAACACAGCAGAAGGGGCTGAGAGGCAGGGCAGGCAGAAGGCAGGACCAGGACGATGGAGTCAGAAGATGGGGTGAGAACAGGAGGCAGCTTTTCTGCATGGGTTCTCTTTGCTACTCACTGCGGCAGCATCTGGGCCATGTCTGTGGTAATACGGCTTCCCCAGTCTCCTCCCTGTACATAGTACTGGTTGAAGCCCAATCTGTTCATCAGCTTATGAAATATCCGAGCAGCTGCTATGGTGTTAAAGCCTGTGGGTAAGGAGGAACATTTAGGTGGTGTGGGTTGATGGCTGGACTTGATGATCCTTGAGGTCTTTTCCAACTTTAATGATTCTATGATTGTACAGGGGACTGGCTTGTCCTAGCCTTCACAACCTGGCCAAAGCTCATCGCCTGACAGAGGCACATGCTGCTCTGCCTTGCTCCTGGGCAATAAAGTGAACACAAGGTGATGGAAATGTAGTGGAAAGTGGAGAAAGTGGAAAGCAGACTTGGCTCCCAGCTACCATTGTGTTCCACAACCCCAATGATTCCAGCAGAGCCTCTTCATCCCTTACCTTTCTGGTGCGGTGCCTCTGAGAAGCCGTAGCCTGGGATGGATGGGCAGATGACCTCAAACACCACATCACCCTCATTCAGGCCGTGCCTGGCTGGCTCTGTGAGCAGAGGGATGATCTTGTAGAACTCGTAGAAGGAGCCAGGCCAGCCGTGGACCATCAGCAGAGGTTGAACAGCTCGACCGTGAGGGACGTAGGGGGGCTTCACGTGGATAAAATGGATATCGATCCCTGCCACACATCCAAGACAAATAAATTAAAGCTCTGGTTCCATCACAGTCTCTGCTCTGGACTCTGAAGAAGGAGGATGGCAAAGTTGTAATTAGCATTCCTGGCAGAGGTTACACAATCAACCCATGGCAAGAAGATGCCTAACTGAAAGGGGATGCCTGTTTTTTGTACCTATGTCTCATCTCTTTCATACAGACAGAGATATTGATCCCAGACACAGATATTGGGGTCACAGGAGATTGAGCATCCATCTCCTGAGAAACTGGTCTCACTGTATTTAAGCAGAGCTGCACTTAATAGCATGACACATGCAAAAACATGACAAAATTACAAAATATGTGGGTGATAAAAAGAGAAACATGAAAAAGTAAGTGCAAGATAGAAGTTTAACCTGCAGTTCACTTACACACAGTCTGCCTAACCTCACCTGGTTAAACTTGGGGGTGGCAGGGAAAATTATAGCCTCGGAGTCTGGGTAAATTTTGCAATTTTCAAAGGTGGCATCAAGGCAATAGCAGAAGAAAATCTCATCATTAGTCATCACAAATTCAGAGCCAGATGAAGCCCATCTTGAAGCAGACCTAATTTTATTGCCACTGTGTAATGATCTTAATCTACAGAAGTTTATTAATAACTAGCCTCTGCTAGTGATATTTCACTCATATCACTAAGCTGTTACACGTACTGTTCTCTTAAACACCTTAACCTCTTAAATGCCCCTGTTCTCTCTGTGCATTTCAGAGTGAGTCCTGCTCAAGACACAGAGAGCCCCCTCACCTTCAATGGTGGTTTGGAAATGGGGGTATTTGTTCAGGACTTCCACTTGTTTGCGCCAGTCGAACTGGTTCCTCCAGTAGGCCACCACCTTCTGCAGGTAGTTGGAGTTGAAGCCGTAGTGGAAGGCGGCCCCTTCCAGTGGCGGTGTGTAGCGGAACTGGTCCAGGCGCCGGTACAGGTCCTGCAGAAGGGAGCCTCTGCATAACCTCCTGAATCGTTTATATGGGGAATATATTTTTCTATAGGTTACCCATTCCCCTGGGGCACCCAGGAGTGCTGGGTCCTACTCTTGCCTTGCTGCTAACTTGGTTTAGGAGTTTTGGTACTAGGAGCTTGCCAGCACTGCTGGCTGAGAGAATGATAAGAAGCTAAACCTGAGCTGCTGACTGCTAGTTGGCCAGATAATTAGGGTCAGGCATGTATGGACAGAGGTGCTGTGACCCAGCCAAGGCCCTGCCCCTCTTCACCCTTCCAGCCCTTCCCTCTATGGAAGCCCCTCAGTCCTGCCCCACCGGTGCTGTCCTCACAGCCTCCCACCCCACCCCACATCCACAGACCCCCTGTCCAAGTCTGCTGCTCAACCTTTCCGCAGGAGCAGCCCCAGGTTACATTGGAGGGTCTGTGGTCTTAGAAAGTCTTTACGGGGCATTGCAATGAATCTGAGCTCAAATCCCATTCATAAAGGGCACTGAGCCAAAGCATCACCTAATGGTGCTGGGCAGCTGCACTGGTGCACTGCTGTCACCCCCAAGAGGTCACCTCGAAGCAGTAATGTGGGTGATGGACTGGCTCCACCTCACCGCTTTCTGCCCCTCCCTATGTCCCAGCCACTGGTACCTCGATTTCTTTGTCAGACGTTTCGATCTTGAAGGGACGGATTCTTTCATCTTCTTTCCCTTTTGCGGGTCTTTCACCTGAGCCCCACCATCCATCACCCATTTCAATCGTCTTGATCTTGTGTCTAGACCTCAGCCAGCAAACCAGCATCCCTCCAACCCCCAGGGCGGCCACAGGGACTAGGATTGCATTCTTCTGAGAATATTCACAAGACCTGGGGAGGCATAAAATTGTTTGTATTCTACAACAGAAGTGTCAAGGGTAAAGAGACCATGCAGAGGTCTGTATTCACTCTGGTTGGGCCTGAGCAGTAATAAATACCTAGAAATCCCATGGGCTCAGCAGGGGCTGCGGGTTTCTGTTATTTTTGAAGATCACAGGCAAGATTTGGGGCAGGGTTACATCTACCAGTGCTTCTTAGGGACCTCAAGTCCTTGCTGATCAGGACTTGCTGATCACAAGGCTTCCTTGTCCCTCTCCTTGTGAACCAGGGGGACAAGGATCAACAGGATATGGGTCAATCTATTTCAATGTAGATACTGGAGTGAATGGGATAGTAGCTGAACTCCTCCAGAAATAAACACTGCACAAACAGAATGGGCTGAGGAGCAGAGACAAGGGTTTTCATCTGCTGGAGAGAGCTGCGTGTGCTGGACGTGCCCCTCTTTGCGCTGCTTTATATATAGCTCCCCTACAGATTCAATCATCTTTCAGGGCAACGCTGGCCCTCCACCATAGCTTTCCATGGGTGTCTCAGCTTCTCTGCCTGCTGCCCCTGTTTCTGTTCTAGACAGCAGGGTTTCAGACTTTCTGGAGGTGGGGGAGCTAAGTCACCAGAGCTGGTTTTAACAGACATGCAGCATGTTTCAAAACCGTTCAAATTCCTGAGCAATCAGACCTTCCCATCACTCTGACCTGTGCCTCAAGCTCTCCAGCTTTTCTTTGGGATTCCCTTGGGTGTCTGGGGCTATTGCAGGGGGCTGCAAGGGGGCTGTGAAGGAAGATTTTATTGTTGTCGTCATACAGGGTAAGGAAGGGACTATGCTGTGCCCCAGCCAGGGTGTTAATAAAAAGTGGAGGTCTCAGCACAGAGCACCTATTTCACTCACCTGATCCGGGACAAGATGCTCTCCCTGCAAAAGGAGAAGAAAAAAAAAAAGATCCTTATAGTCTGATAGTGCTGTCTGAATGGTAGCAACCCCTGGGGATGGTGCAAAGGATGTCACCTGCTAGCACCATAGCCCAGCCATGGGAGAACAAGCTGTTTAGCCACTTGGCAACATCCGCCATTATTTTTTCCAACTTTTTAGATGGGACACAAAGAGAGGGACTCAGAGCACTGCTGCTGCACAGAGACAGTGTTTCTGGGCTGTGTTTTAGCAAGCTTGTTGCCATAATATTCCCTCCTTCAGCACAATTTAGATAAAAGGCAGTAAGCAACTGGGTAGGTGTCCTTGCAGAGTTTCATCCTACAAGCGGCTGTGTTACTTCAACCAAGAAAATAGTTTATTTTGACTGCCTTGTAGTGATAACGTGCAAAGCCTTGGCAGGGGACTTCCAAGCTCCAGCATTATTCTGCTGCCAGCCACATGGTTCTTGTCGTGCTGCAGGGCTGGCAGGGGCACAGGCTCGTGGGACCTTGCCCCGTTCAGAGTTCAGTGAGCTCCTCCTATCCCTTTGATATTTCTAACTGCTCCTGACTGGATACCAAGTTTTGAGGTCTCATTTGCCTGCAAGGAAAAGATGATCTCCTCCTTGGGTCTCTTTGAGCCTGGTAGATTCTCTCTCAAGAAAAGCACAGTCTGAAATCTAGCAAAATTAGAAATGACAAGAGAAACTCTTGTTACTCTGCCCTGTGGAAGGCAGCTAGATTAGGGAGCCGCGTGGTGTCATAATTACAATACCTCCAGGCAAAAAAATAAAAAAAGGATGTGCAACTCCATGAAAACCCAAGCCCGCCGGCTGTTTCTTTTTACCTCGTATCATTTCCCACTGCTGCCTGTGAAGCAGGACCCAGTGCCTCTACTGGAGACCCCAGCAGTCGACAGGGCAATTTGGTAATGATCTCTGAGACAGCCTAAATGGGATTTTTAAGGAGGTAGTTCCTTCAACCACTCCCAGGCAAGGAAGAATAGGGTTCTCTTCAGCTCCCTGGAGGCTGAGCAGCTTATGCAACAGGTAGTAATATCTCCCTGCACTTACCTCCCAGACTTCAGCGAGTCAGAAGCATGAAAGCAGCTAGCATGGCAATATGCATAAACTCAGCACTTCCTAACAAAGCAAGCATGTCCCAGAAGCAGCTCTCTGAGTGACACAAAGCAAGGCTCAGTCTAACAAAAACTCCTCCCTGCTCACGGTCAGGAGAACTCAGCCACACGCTCCCACCCTCCGATGGCCTGGTGACCCTGCAGGGGTCCTGCCCCAGCCCCAGTGAGCCCCGTTCAGGGTCCCTCCAACCCATGCCGAGGGGATCTCACCAGGCATTTGGAAGGAACTCCCGCCACATGTCTGCTCCTCCTCGCCTGGCCGCTGCTCGAGTGAAGCAATCCAGGTGTCCCCCCCTCTGCTGGCTTCCTCTTCCGCAGTGATGATAAAAGCTGTATCATCCATTAGTGCCACCTATTGCCTAACTGGGCAGTTGCAAATTAACTTCAAGGGAGGCAAATGCAAAGTTCTGCACGGGGAGGGACTAGCCCTGTGCACCAGCGCAGGCTGGATGCCAAAAGCAACTCTGTGGAGTAGAGGTCCTGAGGTCCTCGGCTGAGCCTGAGCCAACAAGGTGTCCCTGTACAGGGCTGGGCAGCAAGGATGTTAGCCAGCAGGCTGCGTGAAGTGATGCTTCGCTCTCTTTGGCACTTGTGAGACCACATCTGGGGTGCCATGCCCAGTTTTGGCCTTGCTGGTAGAGGAAAGGCTGTAGAGAGCCCACCTGTGGTGGTGTAGGGCCACCAAGCTGCCAGGGGACCGGAGAACGTGGTGTGCAAGGAGAGACAGAGAGACCTGGGCTTGTTCAGCCTGGAGAAGAGATGACAGATGGTGCGGTCTGATTGCTGTCTACAGCTAGCTAGCAGAGAGCACAGGAAAAATGGATCTGGACTCATCTTGGGGGAGCAACGGTTGAAGGACAAAAGGCAATGGACGCAAATTGCTCCAAGGGAATTTCTGGTTAGATATGAGGAGCCATCAGTTCACCACAGAGGTATTCAGGCACAGGGACAGGGGCCCAGCCAGGACGTGGGGTCGCCATCCTTGGAGGCATTCCAAATTTGAGAGGAACAAGGCACTGAGCAACCTGACCTACCTGGACCTGCCCTGAGCAGGAGGGGGGATGAGCTGACCCCCAGGTGTCCCTTCCAACATCTGTATGATGTGGCTCTGTTCCATGTGCACCTGCGATTTGCAGCAGCCAAAAGAAAACAAAAAGTAGAAGTTAAGTTTTTCATTTTCCACAGAAATCAATGCTTTGATTTAGCTCAGGAAGCTAGATTGAATTTCCCCCATGGTTGGTAAAATCTTCCTGGAAAAAGGCTTCTCCTTCCTAAATTGTTGCAGAGCATCCTTGCTGTGCTTCACTCCAGGAACAGCTGCATTTTACTGTCAGAGGAAATGGTTCCTATCTCCATGCGATGAGACGTTGGGAATATTCTACTTCTTACCTAGCACTGAGAAAAAGCACAAAGGCTGGCAGAGGAAGGGCTGGCTCAGACATCTGAGAGTGAAATTATCTCTACCAGGAATGTGGAAAAAGAGCCAGCAGAGCTAGCTAAAGCTGCAGAGAAAAGATACAAGTTGCTGCTCTCTGTTTAAAAGATTTGTGAGAATCAGAACAGCTTTTGCTGAAGATAGAAGGGGACACACCAAGGCCATTAAGACCCTGGGGCTAAAAGGCAACAAACCCCCTGTGACAAATCTGGAAGAGCTGAGATGCCAGGATCCCATCTACTGAAATGCAGGGTATATGGAGGAGTTTTGTCCGAGTGCTGGTGGGCAGAGGGGAAATCCTGCCCTGGGATGCTGCAGCAGCGTCTCCCTTGGAAAACAAGGTTTCCCACCCCCACCTCTTCCAACCTCTAGTGGACAATATGCAAAAATCCAGACAGAAACTGCTTGCTGGAGTCAACAAGGCTGCCTCCCACGAGATCTTGATGCATGCCCCATAAAGGGAAAGGGGAATCCTACAGGAAAGGACCTGCAAACGTGTCCCAGAGCATCTCCCTGCACTGGGGCAGGTTCCCTAATTCTTAATGACAGATGTCCTAGCAAATCCATTTTTTAAAAGCCTCCTCAGGGCACCATTAGAAAGTTTTCTGACTCTGTCCCAGTGCTGTGATTTTGCTGGTTCAGCTGCTGTTGTGGCGGGGGCCGGGAGGGGGTTGAGGGGTGAGAGAATAATATTTGATGTACTGTATATCACTATTGCATCTCCATCTAAACTTCCAGTTGCTGCCATCCCACAGCCCCTTGGCATAATTTTATAAAGGGATTTCCTACGTTTCCATTGCATGAATCCCATACTAACAGAGAGCTCATTTCCTATTTTTTTCTCTTCTTGCTCTTGTCACTGGTCGGCAGGATCACCCCTGCAGCGATAGAAACTGCTCACATGGAAATGTTACTATAATGGATTATTTTTTTTCCAGCTGATCTAGCAGCTGGATACAAGCAGGAGGAGCCAAACACAACAAACATAACCCGCCAGCTCTCCCAGGCCCATCCAGTGATGCTGGCGCGGTGGGACCTGCTGCTGGAGAAAGCACCCAAAGGCCCAGCAGCAGTTCTGCAAGGGCTGGGTGCCCTCTACTGGGAAAGAAGAGCTCGCAGGACACGTAATTCCACTTTTTTTTTTTTTTTTTTTTTTGTCTGGGGTTTTTTTTTTTTTTTTTTTTTTGAACTTTCTGGTTTGGGTTGGAAGGGACCTTAAAGATCATCGGGTTCTTTTCTCATTGCCCATTGCATGTAATCATAACCAAAGCCTCATAAATACCATTAATGCCGAAACCTCAGCCATGGGGAGGAAAGCTGGTGACTTCTGCTTCTGAAATGAGCTAGTGGACAGAGGGAAGAGTGGAGTACAGAAACTATGAACACGGCTCTTCTACAGCTTGAGATGCTGTGGCAACTTGGAAATGATTATTCTGACCTTTAGAGCCATTGCAAGGCCCTCGCTGGGATTTATGGCCCCGGCTGTAATGTGCTGCCCTTCATAGAATCATAGAATAGAATCACAGAATGGTTTGGGTTGGAAGGGACCTTAAAGATCATCGGGTTCCCCCCCCCCTGCCATGGGCAGGGACACCTCCCACTAGCCCAGGTTGCTCAAAGCCTCATCCAGCCTGGCCTTCATCTTACAGTGTGAAGGCTTTGCTGCATAATTTTCCTTTTGCACGTGCAAAATCAGGTTCACTGTCTTAAGAATATTACTAGAAAGCTAATGGTCCAGGCTCCCCAACCCTGCTTGCCCCATGGAATCACTCTGTCTTTGGACTTCACCTTCCTTTGCTTTTAAGGATGGTCCTTAAGAATAACAAGGCTTTCCTTTGCTTTACTGGATCTTTGCTCCTACCGACCAAAGATATTGGATGCTGTATTTCCCTGCATGGCTTGTGAACAGTCCCTGTGGTCCAGCAGATCCAAGCTGGGACTGTTCATGCACATGCAACTATTCTCAATTGGTATTGTATGAAAATAGCCCTGCCCAGAAATAGGATCACATGGGAAAACTGGAGAGCTTACGACGTGTGGCTGTGTCCTGGGAGTTAAGGAACAGCCCCAAGCACATCACCCTACCTGCAACGCACAAGCAAAATTTCCATCCTCCCAGTAAGGTCTCAGGACATTCAGCTGGTTGGTGGGAAATTTGTTTTGCACCAAAATTTACTCCAGCCCTCAATGGCAGGCTCTGTGCTCAGCCTCAGTGATCACGTCCCTGGAGGAAACACTGAGCTCCTAAGCACTTCCAAGCTGTTAATTCCCGAATCTTATTAACAAGAGCCAGCTCAAGCATCTGAGAGCAGATCGCAGCAACACCTTGCTCCTGCAGCCACCAGCAGCCAGCCCACGAGGCCTCCGTGCTGCTCCACCGTATCTTATATAAACTCAGATTGCAGGAGCCATGAACAACTTGGGAGGGCCAGGGACAACCTCTCCTATCTCCTCCTCCCTTTTCACAAATGTTCCTTTCTTGCCTAGAACGCCCATCATCATTTCTGCAAGTGCCTCCCCTCCTTCCTTCTCTTTAGTCCTCTGTTCTGCCCTATATGTTGAATAAATGTTCGTGTTTCCCCAGCTGGAGAGGGAAACTGCCTCCCTTATTCTCAGGAGACCTCACAAATGTTTCACTGCTACCTCCAGCAAGGACTGGCCCCTTCGGATGGTAATTAGGGAGCTAAGAGGTTTCCCCAGGCACTTCCCAGTGAAACCCAGCCCATTAAACCATGGTAGGCAACATCTCTGAGGGTGGGGAGCGAAGTTACACAACAGCTGCTTGGAAACAGGCAGTTTGTTACGTGTGCTGGTTTTAGAGACTCAGCAACATTAAAAACAAAAGCAACTTTCAAGTCCAAAACAGTGTATTTAGGTCACTGATACCCTGGGGATAATCTCAGGGATATCGGTGATGGGAGGCGGGCAGCAGGCGCTGGGAACCGGTGCTCAGAGCCCAGATGCGCAAAACGTGATGGTCCCTGCATGTGTCCCCAGCCACGCACCGAAAACTGGGGGTCCGGGTCCTTTGTGTGCTCTGGGATATGGGTCCCGCTATGCTGCACACTAGGACCGTTAATCCTGGAGCGTAATGTGAGACAGAGCCCTCTGGGGCTTGGACACATGGCTGGTGTTTTGGTGAGTGTGGTGGAGGCTTGCGGACTCGGCTCAGCTAATCCAGGTGCCCATCAGCCTGGGCATGAGGAATTTCTTATACAGAAGGAAACTCCATACAATCAGTACAGATATGACTTTAAACCCCGGTCAGTTATGTCATTTTTGTTGTTTTATAATCTTAGGAGTGCTTTGTGTATCTCCTGCAACCATTGCTCCAAACCATGTAAAATTATCATCTTGCAAAAAAAGCAAGAATTATTGAAGAAAAGGATGCAACTGACCAAAGGCACTAGAGGGAGGGACTAGTCTTAAGATCTGTAGGACAATATAGATATAAATATCTTATGGAAAAGAACATCCTGAATGATTTGTCATGACTGTAGTGGCAGAAGCATCGGTGGCAGAAACAAAGGCCTTATCTTCAACAAAGGGTTGCAGATAAATCACTATGCGTAGGGGGTCTAGACTCAGTAATTTATTTAGTTTAACAAAAGAGTGATGAGGCATTGGAACAGGCTGCCCAGGGAAGTGGTGGAGTCACCATCCCTGGAGGGGTTCAAGAAACGTGTAGATGTGGCGCTGGGGGACATGGTTTAGTGGGTTAGGTGGTGTTGGGTTGACGGTTGGACTTGATGATCCTTGAGGTCTTTTCCAACCTTAATGATTCTATGATTTTATGAAAAAAAAAAATCTATAAAAGCAATTATCAT